TACGGGGTATCACGGACAGTGAGCTTCTACTTGGGTGGGCTCGCACACCCGGCCTGAATCCTGCCCTCCGGTGCTGGGGTGCCCAGGGCAGTCTGTCCTGCCTCCGGCCGGCCTCCTCAAGTGGGTGTCTGCCTGTGGACACTTGGCAAGAAGGGCACTGAGAGGTGGTCCCGACTGTGTGCCGCCTCCCTGCACATGCCGGCCCTTCCCGGACCTGCAGGGCCCTGCCATCCTCGTGGCTTTTTCTGTGACCGACAGCCTCACAGGCATGGTTTTCTGTGCAGGCAGATGGGATCCTGCAGGCCTGTCACTGGAAAACGTGAAATGAAGGTGAAATGTGCAGAGTGCATCAGTGAGCCCAGAGTGAGCAGAGAAGCCTGAGGTTAGAAACAACGACCCGGGGAAGGAGGAGGGACGAACCCTGAGGGCCTGGGCCTGCGGGACGCGGAGGGGGCGCCCCTGTCAGCCCTGGGGTGAGCACAACTGCGGGACGCGGAGGGGGCGCCCCGTCAGCCCTGGGGTGAGCACAGCTGTGGGGCCTGTGGGACAAGGTGGGGGGGCGCCCCTGTCAGCCCGGGGGTGAGCACAGCTGTGGGGGGACACGGGGGGGGGCACCCCCGTCAGCCCTGGGGTGAGCACAACTGCGGGACGTGGAGGGGGCGCCCCGTCAGCCCTGGGGTGAGCACAGCTGTGGGGCCTGCGGGACACGGTGGGGGGGGCGCCCCTGTCAGCCCGGGGGTGAGCACAGCTGTGGGGGGACACGGCGGGGGCACCCCTGTCAGCCCTGGGGTGAGCACAACTGCGGGACGCGGAGGGGGCGCCCCGTCAGCCCTGGGGTGAGCACAGCTGTGGGGCCTGCGGGACACGGTGGGGGGGCGCCCCTGTCAGCCCGGGGGTGAGCACAGCTGTGGGGCCCCAGCCAGCCCTGTGCCCTCCTGGTGCCGGGCGTGGGGTCAGAGGCCCTGGCAAGCCTGCCTTCGCGTGGCTTTTAGCAAAAAGTCATGTCTAAAAAAATCCTTCAGTTAAGGTTTCAGTTTATTTTTTTAAATTAATTTACTTATCCTTGGCTGCACTGGGTCTTCACTGCCACGCGTGGCCTTTTTCTAGTTGTGATGAGTGGGGAGCCCTTTCTAGTTGTGAGTGCAGACAACTCTCTAGTCGTGGTGATCGGAGGCTCCTCTCCGGTCGCGGCCCGTGACCTTCTCATTGCGATGCTTCTCTTCACGGCCCCGGCTCTACACTTGGGCTCAGTAGTTGGAGCGTGTGGGCTGAGCTCCCCCGTGGCACCAGGGGTCAGGTCGGCGTCCCCGGCATTGTACGGTGGATCTTCAACCACTGGACCCCCAGGGACGTCCGAGGACTTCCATTTAAAACGGTTGCTGACAGGCAGTGCCCTCTCCCCTCTGATTCTGCGAGAGGTGGACACACATCCTCTTCGGGAGACCCCACGCAGCAAGGCTTCGAGGGAATTTGACGGAAAACGTTGCAGCAACTGATGAGCTCATCCTGAAAACATGACAGAACGTGTAAGGAAGCGGGAGCACCGTGTGTGAGAGCCAGACGCGCCCTGGCAGCCCGCGGGACGGGTCAGAGGGCGCAGGTCAGAGGGCACAGGGCGGAGTCACACGGAGGCCGCCCCAGCGTTTAAAAGGGCGGAGTTCTTGATCGAGCACTCAAGATACTTCATGTTTGTGTAAAGGCTGTTCACTAAGAGCTTGGGCTTTCAGACTTGACCTCTGGGCCCCCGCCAGATGTGGCCGCTGGGACTGCGGCCGGTTCCTCAGGAGGCAGGGGGCCGGGTCCTCAGCTGGGTGGTTGCAGACTGAGGAGTAGATGTGATGAGACCAGATATGGCTGCTGGCCGGGGAACTCCTATGTCGGTTAAGCGGCTCCAGGCATTGTCTTCATAGCAGGGAACTTATCAGCAGGCAGAGGCTTCCCAGGTGGCTCAGTGGTGAAGAATCTGCCCGCCGATGCCGGAGAGAAGTGTTGGATCTCTGGGTTGGGGAGCTCCCCTGGAGGAGGGCATGGCATCCACTCCAGGACTCTTGCCTGGAGAATCCCATGGACAGAGGAGCCTGGTGGGCTGCAGTCCACAGGGTCACACAGAGTCAGACAGGACGGAACACGTGTGCATCAGTGTACATGTGACGCCCACGCATGAAGCCATGTCTGAGGTGGTGTCACCTCACTGGCTTCTGTGCTGAGCACGCAGGCGGGTCGTGAAGCCCTCTGCCCAGGATCCTGCGTGTCGGAAATGCTTGTGAAGACGTGCAGCGACTTCGCATCAGTGAACGTCTGAAGCCTTGGGTACTAGAATGTGAAGACCAAGCATTGGTCAGTAGCAAGACTTTAGTTAACACAGTGTAGGTGTCCGGAGTCCGCCTGCTCTGCTGTCCAGAGTGAACAGAGGGAGGGTGACAGCGTGGCCCTATCTGTGTGTGTGTGTGTGTGAGAGCGTGTGCCCTGTGTGTGTACACGTGCATGCCCACAAGGGTCCCCAGGGTGCTGGTGACACCTCATGCAGAAAACACGAGCAGAGACCATGCCTTTTCCGTGTCTTTCCTGCCTCTCGGGCAGGGAGTGGGGAGGCTATGCTGGTGGGGGGCTCTCCAGGTCACCCCAAGATGGGCACCCCAGTGGCCCCACGGGGGCCTTTGAAGCAGAAGCCTCCTCCTGCCCAGGGACAAGGGGCTCCAGGCTCTTGCATCTTCCCACGTGTGGAAAAGTGCTAGCCAAATTCCCTAACTTGGTTGTCTGGTTTTCTTTCATTCACAATGATCTTTAGACATTCAGCCTCCCTGCCCTTCATTACAGACTCTAACCTGGCTCCCTGTCCTCACCTGCTCGCAGCAGCTCTCTCAGGGTTTCTTGGGATGCCGTCTCCAGACTTGAAATCCTAAACATTTCCGCAGAATAAAACATAGCTCTAAAAAAAGAGAGAGAGGACAAGGGGCTCTTTCTTGGCTTCCTGCTGGCGCGTCTGTGGGCGGCCGAGCCGGGGCACAAGCACGTTCAGATCATCCTCAGCGCAGACGCTGCGCCCGGCTCCGCCCACCAACCGGACCTGCGGGTCAGCGGGGGGCTCCGACCCCCAGCCTCGTGCAGCCCCAGCATCCACTCCTTCAGGAGCCGCGTGGGACAGTGCCGGAGCTGGTGGTCCCTGTGCAGGGACCCAGCCCAGAGCCGGTGGGGCCCGGCTGGCTGGGATGCTCCGAGGCCCGGCCCTCCGCCTCCGGCGGTGCTCTGCCCTGGGGATGTCTCCATGTAGGCATCCAGTCCCCCTCTGGCCAGAGCCCATGTTGCTGGGTGTGGAGCCAGCAGCTCAGCGCTGCAGGCATGGGGGTCGTGTGGCGGACAGGTAGCTGAGCCAGCCTGCGCCCCGTCGCCGGCCAGGCCTGGGCTTTTGAGGTGCCCTCCCTTCTCTCGGCTCCTTGGACCTTCAGGAGCCCAGTCGGTGCCCAGGGGGCCACCCTGGGGACCACCTTTGGGCGACGTGCTGAGACCACTGGGTTGGTGATGACAGTCACAGCCACCCCCGCGGGGCCCTGGGGACGGGGGCCGTGCCCAAGTCCAGGAGGGAGACCCGAGAGCTTGGGGAGGGTGGGGCCTTCCCACGGGTGCTGCGTTCGGACTCAGCGTTGGACAGTTGGCTGGGAGACGCCGCAGTGTGCGTGCCTGGCGTGATGGGCCTGCACAGGGCTGTGGTCACGGGGGCAGCCTGGTCCAGGCAGCCTGGGGAGGGGGCTGTTGGGCAGTGTTCCCCATGGACCCCGAGCCCCAGCCTCCCCCCAGCAACGGGGGCACAAGTCTGGAGGGGCCTTAAAGAGTCGCAGGGCTTGGGGCCTGTGCAGGTGGATACCACCGAGATCCGGTGAGAGGTGCTTTCCTGCCATGCAGAAGTCCTAAAAAATTGTAAAGCAACCAGGGAGGGTGTTTAAGGCACCCTGAGGCTGGTATGTGAAACACTTGCCGTTCAGCAAACGTTCCAGCCCCTACTGTGTGGCGGGCATTATTCCAGACAGTGGTTATCACTGGGTAAAACAGAAAAGCCTCTTGGGTCAAATCCGCATTCGGCGATGTTGGCAGACAGGGGGCAGTGTTTGGAGGGGGTGACGTGTGCAGGGTAGGAGCCAGAGTGCTTCGTAGAGCAGGACTGTCAAGGTGACTCCTGGAGAAATCCAGGGGCCAGGACTGGGGGACTTGCGAGGGAGGGACTTGCCCAGTGTTCCAAGAGGGGTCACTGCAGCAGGACGCTGCTCATGCAGGGCCGGAGGTGAGGGCCTGGTGCTGATCATGGCGGGAGGTGGGGGGCCAGCCCCGTGTGCACGTGGATGGGCGATGGGGTGACGGGAGCCCAGGTGGACTGTTTGTTCTGGGGCTTGAACGTCAGGAACAGGGTTATCACCAGTGATTGCGGAGACTAAAGGGGAACTGGCTGGAAAGCAGGACAGGAGCTGGTCTGGGACGAGCTTAGGGGCCCCAACAAGAAGGCCAGGCCCCCACTTGCCAGTGGCGACCCAGGCCCCGGGCCTCCCGCCTGGTGAAGCTACACCCCCTGGGAACACCCCCCCCCAAGCCAGCTCACCGGGTCGGGGGGGGGCGGGTGGCTGTGGGTGCAGCTCCTGTGGAGGAAGGGCGGGGCTGGCTCTGCTCTGGCTGGCCAGCTCCTCCTGGACCTGGGCACACGCCGGTCACGCGAGTCTCCTCACCCTGTGCGTGTGTGGGATCCCAGACACATAGCTGCTGTTGTCCCGAGAACACGTTGTGTGTCCATTCAGCCACTCCTCACCCCGCTCCACCCCACCCCAGATGACTAGTGTCAGGAGGGGTGGGCGGCCTGGGCTGGCTGAAGGCGGACAGTGCTGCACTTGTGGCCCCTGGTCAAAGGCCACTGCTCCGGTGCCCTGGTGGCCTGGTGTCCTCTTGAAGGCCCAAGACCGCAGCGGAGGCTGGGGTTCATCAGGCCGCCACCCCGTCTCTGCCTGGTTACGGACGTCATGGTGGGTACCCTGGGCGCCCCTCCTCCGCTCTCCCTCTCGCGTGAGCCGCAGGCTCCTGCGTGCCCCTGGCACGCACACAGCCTGTCATACAGGCACTCAGCATTCCCCCCGTCTTCGCAGATGGACAGACTGGGCGCCCCAGAGAGCCTGAGGCCCCACCCCACTTCTGCATGGTAGGTGGCAACTGGTAGCCCCTGGCCCCCTGTCCGGGGGTTTGGGGTGGGACTGGGAGGAGAGTGGGGAAGCTGTTGGCTCTGCGCTCCCCTAGCTGGGCTCCAGGTGGGTCAGGCCTCCCGCTGTGGAAGGGTCAATGCTCCAGGTTTGCTGGGCCGGCACCGCCTTCGCTGTCGCTGACCCTTGGGCCCAGCAGCTGCCCAGCTGCAAGTGTGCATGTTCCAGCCCCTCGTGCAGCAAGGCTTCGCTGGCCTTGCTCTGGACAGCTGCCTGGACGACGTGCCCTCAAGCAGAGAGGGTGGTTGTGTCCCCTGCACAGAGGCTGCAGGGGGGACCCTGGCCAGCAGTGTGGGCAGGCAGCCTGCGAGCCTCAGGCCTCCCCCTGCGTGTCCTGCCTGCCCGGCACGAAGGTCAACCTGTTTTGTACTATTTTGACGGACACCCCTGGACCCAGCGGGCTCAGCTCAGTCTGTGCCTGGGGGGCGGGGGCGCTCCACAACAAGGCCCCTGTCCCTGCGGCTTCTGTGTGCTTAGGACTGGCCTGACGCCCTGCTCCTTGGGCCCCTGGCCGCTCGGGGGCAGCAGGAGGTCTGCTCACCACCCGGCCTCTCTCTCGCCTCCGCTGACCGCAGGCCCGCTGCGGGCCCTGCCTGCCGGCTCCCCCGCTGGCTCCCGGGCTCAGCTTCGCCCTCTGCGGGTCCCTAACCTCCCCAAGGAGCGCGTCACCAGGAAGCACAGAGAACCCGGGGGTGGGGGCCGCCCGGACATAATTCATTTTGCTGGGGCCCAGTGAGTGGTGGCCCCGCCGAAGCCCGGGGTGGCCACGGACTGTTCGCGGGAGGTGAACTCCGACCCCCGAGGCTTCTGGCTGGAGTCCTCCCTCCTGGGGAGTAGAACACGAGGACTCCCGGGCCCAGGGGCAGGGCGGCCTGCCCACTCCGCGCCGGGGGATCTGCCCCTCTGGGACCCACTAGGCAGCGTGTGAGCCCCGCACGTTAAATGAAAGTCGGCGTGTCCCCGCTTCCCGTCGCGGCTGGCGCGAGAGGGGGGGGGCCCTGCACTCCCCGTGCGCGCCGCCCGGAGCCCCGAGCCCTGGGGGGCGCGGCGATCGCGCGGCGCATGGGGTGAGGGGAGGCCCCGCCCTCCTGACGAGGGGGCGAGTCCTCGGGGCGGGACCGCGCGGCCATTGGCTGGGCCGAGGGGCCGTCCGGCCGGAGGCGGGTCTTCGGGGCGGGGCCGGGAAGGCCCGCGCGGCCATTGGCTGGACCTGCACCCCGCGCTTTGGCGGCCGCCGCGCCCGCGCCCGGGAAAGCCGCACTCACTCACCCGGGGAAGGCGATCCTGGCAGGTGGGGCGCGCGCACCGCGCACTCGGACCCTGACCCCGCTGCGCTTCCTAGCGGGCCCGGGGTACCGGCTCCGCTGCGCTTCCGGGCAGGCGCGGCCACCGCTGCACGGCCCCCCGGGCGTCCCGCCGGGACCGCGGGGGAGGGGGAGGCGCGGGCCCGGTCCCCGGACGGCGGGCATAATCCTGGCGGGGGAGGGGTCTCAGTGCCGTCCGGGTCCCGGTCATTACCCACAGGCGGCCTGGCGGGCGGCATCGAAATCTGCATCACCTTCCCCACCGAGTACGTGAAGACGCAGCTGCAGCTGGACGAGCGCTCGCACCCGCCGCGCTACCGGGGCATCGGTGAGTGGGGGCGGCCGGCGCGGGCGGGCGGGCCGGCCGGCTGGGGCCGGCGGGGTCGCTGACTGCCCCCTCCCCCAGGGGACTGCGTACGGCAGACAGTCCGCAGTCATGGCGTCCTGGGCCTGTACCGCGGCCTCAGCTCCCTGCTCTACGGCTCCATCCCCAAGGCGGCCGTCAGGTGAGGCGGCTCGGGCCGCGGGAGGGAGGGAGCGAGCCCTGGCCCCGCGGCGGCCCGTCTCACGCCTCAGCCTCCCGCTCCAGGTTCGGGACGTTCGAGTTTCTCAGCAACCACATGCGGGACGCCCAGGGACGACTGGACAGCACGCGCGGGCTGCTGTGCGGCCTGGGCGCCGGAGTGGCCGAGGCCGTAGTGGTCGTGTGCCCCATGGAGACCATCAAGGTGGGCAGATCCCCGTAGGAGACAAGGCGTGAGACAGCACTGGGCGGCGGGGTGGAGTCATTGTGCCCCGCGGAGATTGTCGCGGTGGGCAGGGGTCTTGCCCCGCGGAGACCGTCGAGGTGGGCAGGGGTCTGCCTGGGGAGCCCTGCGCCGTAAGCCCACCGGAAGAGCTTCCTGGGGGCTGGACTGTATCCTCGAGGCAGTGGGAAGATAACACTGCCTTAAAAAACTTAGGAGCACAAAACAAGGTAACACGTGTCTGCTGCCTAAGTTGTTTGAAAAACTAGTAAACATAACAGCAGAGGCTTCTCCGTAAGGCGGCCAGGGGCACCCGTGCCCTGACCCCTGGGAGCCAGCGCCTTGCTGCCTCTTCCTCAGGTGAAATTCATCCATGACCAGACCTCTGCCAGTCCCAAATACCGAGGATTCTTCCACGGGGTCAGGGAGATCGTGCGGGAACAAGGTGAGCCACTCGGCCTTGCCCTCTGGTGGGGTCAGGGACCTGGGCCAGGCTGCCCAGAGCCGCCACCGGCGCTTCCTGCCTTGGCACTCCTGCGTCCGTCCGGGAGGCCGTCGGTGTGACAGCCGTGCCTGCTTGCCCCAGGGCTGAAGGGGACGTACCAAGGTCTCACGGCCACCGTGCTGAAGCAGGGATCCAACCAGGCCATCCGCTTCTTCGTCATGACCTCCCTGCGCAACTGGTACCGAGGTGTGTTTGCGCCCCAAGACCCCCCCCCTCCAGGCCTGGAACCCTGCCCTCGCGCGCTGTCCCCATCTGACCCCAGCCCTCACCCCCATCCAGGGGACAACCCCAACAAGCCCATGAACCCGCTGATCACTGGTGTGTTCGGAGCCATCGCGGGTGCAGCCAGTGTCTTCGGAAACACTCCACTGGATGTGATTAAGACCAGGATGCAGGGACTGGAGGCACACAAGTACCAAAACACGTGGGACTGCGGCCTGCAGATCCTGAGGAACGAGGGACTCAAGGCGTTCTACAAGGGCACTGTCCCGCGCCTCGGCAGGGTCTGCCTGGATGTGGCCATCGTGTTCATCATCTACGACGAGGTGGTGAAGCTTCTCAACAAAGTGTGGAAGACGGACTGAGCCCTGGGGTCTGCGTGCAGGCTGCCCCCGGCGCCCCCTTCTTACAATTCCAGTGCAGTCGTGCCAAAAGGCCTGTTCCCTGTCCCGCGTACTCCATGGCCTGGGTGTCCCCTGTGGCCGTCGGGTCCACACGTTCTCTGTGGCCTGTACACCGCCACCACAGTGTCTGTGTATCCAGCTGAGACTGGGTGTCCCTCTGGCCTGTGAATCTGAGCCCACTTGTCCACATGCTTGTGTGCCCGTGTCATGTTTCGTGTGCTGTGACCCTGTGCCCCACTTCCCGGGGTGCCCGTGTGGCCGGGGTCACGTCCCAGCCTGGTGCCTTCCACCCTGGGCAGCAGGGGCAGTGCCCCGGCCCACCACAGCTGCCTCCGGGCCTCAGCCTGGCCTCACTGCATTCCAGGGGCTGCGTGGCCCCCGCTTTTCCCGCCACTGGCCTTAATGGCCCTTGGGCCCTCCCTCCGCCCGGGACAGGGTGGCACCTGCCACTCTCAGGACCACCCTTCCAAGGCAATAAACCGGATCCTGTTGAAAAAAAAAAAAAAAAAAAAGCAGGGATGTATAGTCAAAGCTATGGTTTTTCCAGTAGTCACGTATGAATGTAAGAGTTGGACCATAAAGAAGGCTGAGCACCAAAGAACTGATGCTTTCAAACTGTGGTGCTGGAGAAGACTCTTGAGAGTCCCTTGGAGAGCACCGAGATCAAACCAGATCAAACCAGACCCTGATGCTGGGAAAGACTGAGGGCAAGAGGAGAAGAGGGTGACAGAGGATGAGATGGTTGGATGGCATCACTGACTTAGTGGACATGAATTTGAGCCAACTCTGGAAGATAGTGAAGGACAGAAGCCTGGCGTGCTGCAGTTCATGGGGTCACAAAGAGTCAGACATGACTTAGCGACTGAACAACAGCTAATGAGAGTGTCTTATGGGCACCTGTTATGGGAAACACCGACTGAGACCACTCACCTTGGCCAGGGACCATAGTGACCATTTGGGTGAGTTATTTCACAACAGAAGGTCCTGATAAGGAACATGGAACTAACAAGCCAGCATCAATGGAAGAATTCAGGAAAGGTCAAAAGGAGATGCCACGTGTCCTGCTACCTCCCGGATCTTTCTCGCTGGCACCCATCTCAGCTGAGCGATGCGTGTGTCACCAGAAGGACCCTGAATCGGAATGATTGGCCTAAGGCAACCTGGAAACTAATCCCATCACCACTGTTCTACAAGGGCACTGTCCCGCGCCTCGGCAGGGTCTGCCTGGACGTGGCCATCGTGTTCATCATCTACGACGAGGTGGTGAAGCTTCTCAACAAAGTGTGGAAGACGGACTGAGCCCTGGGGTCTGTGTGCGGGCTGCCCCCGGCGCTCCCTTCTTACAATTCCAGTGCAGTCGTGCCAAAAGGCCTGTTCCCTGTCCCGCGTACTCCATGGCCTGGGTGTCCCCTTTGGCCGTCGGGTCCACACGTCCTCTGTGGCCTGTACACCACCACCACCAGTGTCTGTGTGTCCAGCTGAGACTGGGTGTCCCTCTGGCCTGTGAATCTGTGCCCACTTGTCCACGTGCTTGTGTGCCCGTGTCGTTTCATGTGCTGTGACCCTGTGCCCCACTTCCCGGGGTGCCCATGTGGCCGGGGTCACGTCCCAGCCCGGTGCCTTCCACCCTGGGCAGCAGGGGCAGTGCCCCGGCCCACCACAGCTGCCTCCGGGCCTCAGCCTGGCCTCACTGCATTCCAGGGGCTGCGTGGCCCCCGCTTTTCCCGCCACTGGCCTTAATGGCCCTCGGGCCCTCCCTCCGCCCGGGACAGGGTGGCACCTGCCACTCTCAGGACCACCCTTCCAAGGCAATAAACCGGATCCTGTTGCAGCCTCCTGTCCCTGTTGTGAGCCCACGTGTAGGTGGGCAGTGGTGCCCACGCCTCTGCCAAGGGCAGGCCCACTCCACCGAGGACACCGCCAGGGGGCCAGGCGGGCTGGTGGGCAAGCAAGCTGTGGCCTAGCGCCAACCCCCGGGAATGCCTGGTGCCAGACTTTGCCTATGACCAGGAGGCAAGATCCTGCAGGAGAGCCAGAGGGCATGTCCTTGGGGTCACCTGGCAGGCAGCAGGTGGTCAGGCCTGGAGAAGGGGCTCTTGGGCTCTTGTCCACCCTGCAGCTGGGGGCCCAGCCCACCTCACTCCATGGTTTCCCAGTGATCTGCTCATGAGGAACTGCTTTGGAGTGACCATTTTCTGGTGCCGAGACTGAGCAGGAGGCCCTTAATGCTTCACCGAGGCTGGGAGGCAGTGGGTACTTGGGGCCCTCACCCCACAGCACTGAACCTCAGAGTAAGGGTCCCCCTTGCTGAAGCCCACCTTCCCCCGGGGCCCAGGCACAGCTGGGAGCCCAGCCCAGCACAGGGGCCAGAGAGCCTTGAACCGGAGGGTCCCCCTGGCTCAGATCTGGCTGGAAATCCTCCACCTGCGAGCCAAGTGGAGGAGGTGCCCCAGGCTGTGAGGGGCAGAGGGGCCTTCCGGTCCAAGTGACTCCTCAGCAAAAGCCACACAGTGGATTTGGCTCAACTAGCAGTCAAGTCCCACTCCTAGAGCTGTTCCCTTCAGGGAGAGCCCCCACAGCACCTGGATCCCTGGAGTCGGGTAGATCTGGGGATCAAGGGTGGGTTTGAGGGATGCAAGGACCAACAGTGTGCCCTCTCAGGAGAGGGAGGAGAGGGGGCCTGGCAACAAAGCTTGACTGCTCACAGGCTGAGGCAAGCCACCTAAACTCCCATTTCCCAACTGCAGAATGAACCCAGCCCCGTGGGCTATGAGGAGTGCTGTAGTGTCTGTATGGTGTTTAGAACACGCTCTGCAGAGAGAGCCCTCAGGGAAATTTAGCAGGGGCTCGGGGGCCCAGCTAGTTCCTAGATGTGGCAGAGCCCCAGAGCTGGGCCCTGAGGGGACTCTGCCACGAAATACCTCTAGGAGTGGCATCTGCTCACTGACTGCCTACAAGCACCCCCAGCCCTGTCCCTATCTCCTTTCATAAGGAGGGAGTTGGGCTGCACTGAGCCGGAAGGAAAGTGTTGGGACCTGTGCCACAGCAGGGAGCCCAGCCAGAAAAGGTGATGGACCTGAGCCCGAGTCCCCTGGGGCTGTGAGCCTGGAGAAGCCACCTGCCCCCCACCTACTCCACCTGTTGACAGAAGGTGGGATCCATCGAAGCCTCAGTTCCTGCAGTTAAGTCCTGAGGGAAGCAGGGCTGGGGTGTGGGGGTGGGGCGTTGTCTGAGACAACGTCAGCAAAGCCGAGGGAAGTGAGCCAGTGGAGAGTGGCTAGAGGGGCAGGCAGGTGTCTGCAGAAGAAAGCCCAGTGCACCTAATCAAGATCTAGAAAGCTGATGGCAGGCGACATTGCCCTTGCAGCACTGGGCCAAGGGGCAGAATGACGTGGACAGAACTTTGAGCAGTTGAGAGGCAAAAAACTCCACTTCCAGTGTGGTTCTCCCCCACCCCACCCCGGCCAACCTAGACACACAGGCCAGGGCCGGGGAGAACCCTGGGTACAGCTGTGCCTGCATTATCAGAGGAGTTGTGAGCTGAGTGCAGACTCTGGGTCAAGGTATCCGGCCCACAGCCAGAAACGTCTGAGCCCAGCTGGAAGCCACTCAGCATTAAGCAACCTTCACCACCTGGCATCGTCTTGAGCCTGGGGTCATCAGGAAATGTGCCCAGGACAATGGCCTCAGAGACAGGCCAAAGGAGCAAAGGGTGAGATGGTGGCCATTCCGGAGGCAGGTCTTGGCCAACCTGCAGCCCCATCTCATCACTGTGTGGCTGAGGAGGGGTGTCCTACGCCCACTCTAGGCAGGGCCCCCTGCCCTACTTCTTTGAACCCTCCCCTCCCCTCCCCCACTACCCTACAGGGATCCCCTAGGTTTCTCCTTGTCCTTGTGTAGGTGATGAATGGCAATCAGAGTTTAGTACACACACAGAATCGCTCCTGACAAATTGGTCTCTCCCCTTTCAGCCAACAAAGCGAATTCTGTTTCAGGTTGTCCTCAGCCTTCACAGCAAACAATCAGAGCTGAGAATGCCAGACTACTTTCCTCACTGACATTCTACTTCCTACGTGTTCTCAGATTTTCTGCACAGAATCCAGAGGTCTGAGGACCTGCCTCCTCACGATCTGGGAACAGGGCCAAGGAGAGACAGAGGCGGCCACAGCAGAGAAGTGGCTCAAAAGGACCGCGGGAGGATCACAGGGAATAGCTAGGACCGCGGACAGACGTGGCCTAGGCCGACCAAGCGGGTGTCCCAAGGAGAAAACGGCGGGCCGTGGCCCGGTAGTTCGCCTCCTTCCACGCCCACCTGAGACTACCCGAGAACAACCTCCGCTGCGTAGACTGGGCCAGGCCCTGATCCCACCCCGCCCACCACAACCGTGGTCGTTTTTGTTTCCTCGGCCGGGCTGGCCACACCCATTTATTTCCCCTCTGGCCGGGCCTGGACCTGAGACCCCACTCGGCCAGAGGAGTGGCTGTCTCCCGAGGTGACCTACAGGCACGGGCCATCCCAGTCCCTCTGTTCAGACGCCTGCGGCGGCCGCCGCCCAACCCCCGGCTGAAAACCGGCCTCGGGCTCAAGCTCTCGGACCCGCCGCCGGTGGGCCCGCGGTCGTTTTCCAGGAGCCCCGCCTCCGGTCGCTCGACCTTTAGCCGACGGCCCGGTGACTTCCTCCCCCCCCCCCCGCCCCCCAACTGTGTGACCCGGGGAAGGGCTGCGCCCGCGGGCCGTCGGCTAAAGTTCGGCCCAGAGACCCGGAGACACCAAAATGGCCTTCGAGGCTCGCTCGAGTAGGAGGAGCCCCACCCCGGGGCCCAATCACGGGCGACGCTCGAGCGACTCGCCGGCCTCTGGCTCCCTCAGGGCGGGGCCGAGGCTGCTAGGGGCGGGGCCGCCGGCGCCCGGAAATCGGACGGCGCGCGCTGATGGTGTCACGGCGCGCCAGGGCAGCGCAGGCCCGCGCATGCGCTCGGCCGGTCGCTGGACGGCCGCTCGCAAGGTTCTGGTCGGGCAGCCTCCAACACTCCGGGCTTGTCCGGCGCCACCGCCATCGCCCCCCCCCCCCCCCCCCCCCCCCCCCCCCCCCCGCCCACGACGACCCACTGCTCACGCTGGACGCTGCCACGGGCGCCCCTGACGCGCTGGCCCGGAGCTCGCGCCCGTGTCTGCCTCCCTTGCAACCTTTGGCTCCCGAGTTCCCAGTGCCAGCCACGGGACGGGGGACAGGGTCACGGGATGGGGCCGCGAGGGTCGCCAGCCTCCCGCTGCTGGCCAGCTCCAGTCCGGGCACCAGCTCCCACCCGCAGGCTCGAGTAGGGCGCGGGGACCATGCCCCATCCCATCGCCATGGAGGAGGAGGCCGGGGCAGCCTCGTGGTGCAGGCGCACCCCGCCGAGTCCCCCACCCCCAGAACCCGTCGTCGGTGGGGCCGGGGGCGCGCCCCTCCAGCAAACGGCAGGAGCACACCGCACAGTAGGCCTCCTGCCAGCACCACGCCTCCTTTCGGCCAGGCCCTGTCCTCAGACGGGAAAACCCAGGCAGAGACAGAGCCTGCCTGGGACCTATGAGAGCCAGGTCTGCACAGCCCTCCCCCCCGGCCCCCTCTGTGAGGGAGCTGAAGATTGGGGTTGGGAAGGCAGACGGTGAGATCACGTCCGCCGGGGCTGGGGTCCGTATCCTGGGGTGGGACCGCGGGAGGGATGGAGGGTCTGCAGACAGGGGCTCCTTGTTGGCTTCGGGCAGCCTCCCTTTGGTCTGCAGGACCGGCCCCCTGGCCTTGCGGGGTGGGGAGGGTGTGCCTTGCTGTGGAACCACACCTGAGGGCCAGCCGGGAGTGCAGAGGAGGAGCTGGCCAGAAGGGCGGGGGCCTCGCGGATGGGCTTGGGCCAGTGCGCCCTGATCCCCAGCACAGGCTGCTGCCAAGAGCCCGGCCCCACTCCAACCTTCTGGGCCAAGTGCACGCGGAGCCCGTTGGTCTGATGGACCGAGGGGTTCATCCCGCCCTCTGGGACTCGGGGCCAGGCTTGGCCCGGTGACCGCTGGGGAAATCGAGACCGGCACCCGTGCTGGACCGCAGAGGTCCCGCGGCCACGCCACCGAGGGTCCACCACGCGAGCGGCCCGCTGACAATTGAACGGCCAAAGCAGATTAACCCGGGTGCTAATCCCCGCTAATGGCTTCAGAATCCCCGGCGCTCGGCGGCTAAGCCGGCCTTTCTCCGCGGCGCGGCCGGCCCTCCCCGGCGGCCCCAGCCTGCGGCCGCGCGATGCTATCTCGGCCCCGCGGCGCTAATCCCCGCGCTCGCTTTCTTCCCGGGCCCGCTCGAGATCGGCCGATCGGCGCTTGATTATGGCCGCTATCGAGGGCCCCTTTGTGCCGTGGGCCCTAAATCCCCTAATTCCGTGATAAAGGAGGCATTAGCCGGCGTTCGCTGCAGAGAAAGGCACCGGCATGAAAGAAAGCAATCAGGGAGTCCTGATGGCCTGGCCGCCGGGCCGGGAGGGGGCGGGGTGCGCGCTGCAGGGAAAAGGGGAGGCGGCGCCCCCACCCACCCCGCCGGGTCCCGGCCGCCTTCGCCATCCCCGAGCGGCGCCCGGGACCCTCCGCCGCCTCCACCCTCCCTGGCGGCAGAAGAACCGTGCTCGCCGTCTCCCCTCTATCCGCACGTTGCATGTGCCGGGACCTGACTTCCAAACTCGCCCTGGGCCTTGCTGGGCCCGCCTGGCGCCCTAGCCTCTGCCTGTCCGAAGCCAGTGGTTTCTCGGCACTGAAGTCCCGGCCCTTGGCCCCTGGTGCTCCTCCCGCCCCCCTCCTCCCTCCCTGGAGGCCCCGCCCCTGCCATCCACCCCCTCTTTGGCACTGACCGGTTTTGACCAGTCCTGGACGCAACTTGGTCTGCTCTTCAGTCCGGGAGACAGAAGTGAGGGCGGTCAGGAGCCCCTGGGACCGTGGAGGGGGTTGGGCAGGGGCAGGGGCAGGTGGGGTGAGCAGGGAAGGCTGCTCTGTGGAGGCCACACCGAACCCCAGGACCCGGCCGAGAGCGCTGGGCCGCTGGCGGATCTGGTGTGCCACCTGGGCAACGGGAGGGAGGGGGCAGCCAGAGAGAGGTGTCGGAGTCCAGGGGCCGGAGGAGCACCGGGAAGAAGCGGCTGATCCTCTTATCCTGAGCAGGGGAGCGCGGTGATTGGACCTGTGTGCAGAGAGAGAGGGGGTCAGGCCAGGAAAGTGGCCGCGAGGGCGTCGGAAGGCCGGTGTGGGGCCCAGGTGGCCGGGCATCGGCAGCAGCGCCGAGGGTGGTGTTAGGACCGGTGAGGTGTCGGGGTGGGCAGGGCAGCGTCCCACATGAAGCATGGTACTTAGGCAGCTCTGAGGGCGGGGGGTGTCAGGGAGGCTAGTTGGACCACTTACTTGGATGGGCAGGTGTGCATTTAGCACCGTGGATGGCAGTGTAGGCGCAGTTTACCCAGGTGGTGAGGCGGGCCATTTACCAAGGGGGACAGTGGGTCCCTGTGGACCAGCAGGTGGTATCATGGAGGCGGCTGGGAATCTGTCCCGACCACTTGAGTGCCCAGCTCGCCCATCCTGCGTCTCTGGTTAGCACCCAGTGGTGGCCTAGCTGCGTCCACCTGGGAGTGTTGCCCTGGGTGATGGGGCCACGTGCATCATGGGGACTCAAAGATGGAGCCTGCATCCTCGAGACTTGAAATCTGAAGCCACCGTGTCTGTCCCAGTGCCTTCTTGCTGAGCCTCCCCGCCCCTCCCCTGGCTCTGTCCTGCTGCCGGGTTGACCACCCATGTCCCCCCTTTTGGTCAGCTTCCCAGCAGGCACTGCTCTCAGTGTGCAAACCGATAGTCAACCCGTGCTTCTGTGTCCCCCAAAAAGAGATGTTGAGGCCCTCAGCCTTGGCATTGACCCCCTTCTGGTTTCTGCTGTTCATACCCAGTGTGCCCAGGTTGTCTTCAAAATATATTGTTCAGAGTTTATCATTGCTATCCACTGGAGGATTAGTCCAAAGCAAGTGACTACCATTACGAGAAGTGTGACTCGGCTCACTCATTTTAAATATCTTTTGAGGCTTTGCTAAATTGGTAAATTGCTACTTTTTTTTTTTTTTTGGCCAGTGATGAAGACTCAATCCTTTCCCTCTAAGATCAGGAACAACATGAGAATGCCCCCCTCCCCGTTGTTGTCCAGCCATTTACTGGAGGTTCTAGCCAGGGACCTGCCAATGCAACAGACAGAGGTTCAATCCCTGGACCAGGACAACCCCTGGAGGAGGCAATGGCACCCACTCCAGGACTCTTGCCTGGAAAATCCCATGGACGGAGGAGCCTGGTGGGCTGCAGGCCACGGGGTGGCAAGGGTCGGACACGACTGAGCGCACAGACACTGGCCAGGAAGCTCAGGCGGGAAGATGGAGCAGAAGGTGGTAGCGCTGTGAAGCGAGAAGCACAGTCTCTGTTCATAAGCGCCGTTATCTTGTACATAGAAACCTTTTAAATGCACAAAAAATTATTAGAATAAACAAATTCTGCAGGTTGCAAGATAACAAGATCAATGTACAAAATCACTTGTATTTCTATACACTTGCAGTGAGCAGCCCAAAAATGAAATAAAATCATTCCACTTAAAATAATCCCCAAAAGAACAAAATGCTGAAAGATTAACTTTAATCAAAAAAGTGAAAAAAAAAAATGTGTACTCTGAAAATTACAAACACTAGTGAAAGAAATTCCAGATGATCTAAGTAAGTGGAAGAAATCCTATGTTCATGGATTGTTAATGTTGTTTAGATGGCAAGAGTCCCCAAATGGATCTTCAGATTCAATGTTACCTCTATCAAAATTCCAGCTGGTCTCTTCAAATAAACTGACGGACTGGTCCTAAAATTCACAAGAAAGTTCACGAGAACCATAATAGTCAAATCAATGTTGAGAAAAAAAAAAGTTGCAGAACTCACACTTGTCAATCTCAAACCTCCAAATCTCAATCTCAAGTGCAAAGCTCTAGTAATCAAGACAGTATAGGTAAGGACTTCCCTGGTGGTACAGTGGATAAGAATCCACCTTCCAACGCAGGGGACACGGGTTTGACCCTGGGTCCAGGAAGACCCCACATGCTGGGAGCAACCAAGCCTGCAAGCCCCAACTACTGAAGCCTGCGTGCCTATAGCCTTTGCCCCGCAACAAGAGAAGGCGCTGCAGGAAGAAGCCCCATTCGATGCAACTAGAGAAAAGCCCATGCAAAACAACAAAGACCCAGGGCAGCCAATAATAAATAAATAATAAAGCAGTTAAAAAAAAAAAAAAAACTACGGGTAGACATGTAGATCAATGGAGCAGGACTCAGAATCCAGAAATAAGTCCTCACGTTTATGGTCAGTTGATTTGCAACTGGGTTGAGGGGGATACAGTTCAACAGGGAAAAGAATAATCTTTTCAGCAAATGGGACTGGGACAACTGGAAACTGGATATCCAGATGCAAAGAATGAAAGTTGGGTCTTTACCTACATCATAGACAAAATTTAAAAGGGGTCAACGTCGGAGCGGCCCTGCGTAGGTCTGGGGCCGGTCCTTCAGCCGGGGCTGCTCTGCGTGTCCTTCCTGTGGCTGCTGCAGCGAGCGTCCCCAGATGGGAGAGGAGTTGTGTCCCCCAGCTGTAGGACCCGGCCTCAGAAACCACAGGGTCATTTCTGCCTCCTCGCGGTTAGAGGAGAGTCACTAAGCCAGTGCACACACAAAAAAGGGGCACTAGATGTCACCTCTTGAAGGGAGGCGTGCAAGGAGTTGCTGACAGGTTTGAAGAGCATCACGTCGGTGGAGAGATGGCACGTCCACCTAGGTGGGTAGGGGTGTAGGCAACCCATTTATCAAGGTGGGGTACCAGGCAGGGGGTGGAGCTTTCCAGGAGATCTTGAGTCTGTCCCAAGCATAGTGACTGAATGTTCCTTGGTGCTGAAATGGGACATGGAGCAGGTGCTTAGGGAGATGCCAGCCTGGAGCAGAAGGAGCAGTCAAGCCGCAGGTATCACCTGGGGAGTCCTTGCCACACAGGTGGCGTCTGAGGGTTCAAGGTTGCAAGAGGTCACCAAGGGTGAGGACGGAGAGGGATGAAGGAACATCAGGACCCAGCCTTCCTGGCCACTGGTCCTGGAGCCCCCATCCTTGAGCAGGTGACTTTGATGGGTTGTTGACTCCCAGCAACATCTGTGATCTATTGGTGAGCTGGCGGGAAGTTGGCTGGGAGAGGTTTCTAGGGTGATCCAAAGGGATACATGGGAAGAGGTGGGAGGTCTGGTGTGGTGGCAGCCATATTGCAACCATGAGGTGGGCCACTCACAGAGGTGGTGGCTCCTTCCTGGAGCTTCCAGATTAATGCGTCCTGGGCAGTCTGTGTCAGGACTCTTTGTGACAGCAAGTCAGTGGGTTCTGTGGCTGGAAGTCCAGAGTCCTCACTGACACGAGTGGAGTCAACAAGGGAGTTTGAGGAGGGGCGTGTGAGGCGGGAGGAGAGGCGCGAGACTGCATGTTGCCCCCTTCGTGGCACCTTCCATTCACAAAGGCCCTGCCCAGCGGGGATCTAACCTCACACAGTGACTGGTAAGCCCACGGAGCATCTGAAAGTTAGGTCGCAATGATGTCAGTTTAGAGCTCAGAGGTCGGGAAACCGAGGTATGGGGTGGGGTGGACTGAAGGAGCCTTTCCTGGAGCCCGGAAGGAACAGCTGGGGCAGAAGCCAGACCGTCTGCAGCCTGGTCCTGCGAGCCGCAAACTAGTTTTTCAGCGGTCTGGAGACAGCCTGAAGCAGAAGTCCTGCTGGCTGTCCAAGGCTGCATAGACGAAGGTGGACAGGCTTCCTGGAATCTGGCAAAGTGCGGGTCGGTCCCCCGCGATGTTGGACAGAATGGGCACCAGTCAGCCCCCAGGGAGCCTGCCTCTGCCGGAGTGGGGGTGGGGGTGGTCATGGGATGGGGGTGGATTCTGGGACACAGAGGAAAGCAGACAGTCCCTTTCCGCGGAGCCCCGGATGGTGCCAGGTGGGCTCCGTCACCCAGGAGAGAAGGCAGAGAATTGAAGGCAAGGGACTGCGGGTTTGGGGATGGGCAGAGACAGCTTCCGCCTGCGCCCCGTCTCCTCCCCAAGGTTGAGATCCAGGTCCTGAGTATGGGAGCGGGCAGTCGGGCTGAGTGCAGCGGACGGCGGGGTTGCCCCGGGTGCTGGGCCCCGTTTGAGGTCGCAGCTCAGGACGCTGCGCCGTTTGGGGGGTTTCTCCAGGCTCGGTCCTCCGCCCCGGTGGGGCGCGGAAGGGGACGCAGAACTGGACCTGGGCGCGGCGGCTACGGGACCAGGCACCCAACGTCTGCCAGGCCGGGGTGTCCTCGGGCCGCTGGGCCAGGGCCGGCGGGCCGTGGGGGCGGCCCTGCGTGCGCCTGCCAGCCTTGCGGGTCGGGGGCACGGGCTCGGGGCAGGGAGCTCCCGGCTGCCCCTCCCGCCGCCGCCGCCGCCTGGGGGCCCCGGGGCGCAGCCAGGCGCGGGTGTCCCGGGCCCGCCGCGGCGCACGCGGCGTCACCGCACCATCTTTAGTGAGGAGCAGCTGCGGGCGCTGGAGGCCCTCTTTGCGCAAAACCAGTACCCCGACGTGGGCACGCGCGAGCGCCTGGCCGGCCGCATCCGCCTGCGCGAGGAGCGCGTGGAGGTGGGTGCCCGCCGCCTCCGGAGAGCGGCTCCGCACTGCGGGCGGAGGCGCCTCCGCCCGGGAGCTGAGGGGCGGCCGGCGGGGCTGGGCTGCGGCGGAGGTCAGGCTCCCTTACTTTTAAATACCCCACCCGCCCCTGACGGATCAAGCCCGCGTCCGCGCGCCGGAATTCGGGGGGCTCGGAAGAGCGCGGGGCTGCAGGAGGGGCACTGGCCGGCGGAAGCGGGGGGAGGGGGGAGGGATTCCGGCCCCGGGCCCTCGGCAGCGGATGACGGACGGGAGCAGCCGCCCGGAGGCCCCCGCCCGCCCGCACTCGCGTCCCGAAGACCCGGCCGGAACACTTGGGACCCGCGCGGGACCTGGGTCTGCGCTGGGCCCGCCTGAGCGCGCCTCCTTCTCAGGTCTGGTTCAAGAACCGCCGGGCCAAGTGGCGACACCAGAAGCGCGCGTCGTCGTCCGCGCAGCTCCTAGCCGGACCCGAAAAGCCCCCGAAGGAGGGCTGCTGAGGGCGCCAGAGTTACCCCGGGCGTGGAGGCGTCCTCTGGGGCCGGCCCGGGGAGCGCACAGCCCGACCTTCATAGGAAGGTGGGAGAGGACGCCAGCCGCCAACCCGGGGACCCGGAGGTGACCGCGGAAGCCCCTCTGCGAGCGACTGCGGCCACTCGCCCTGCGGTGTGTCCCAAAGCGCGGGGCTGCCCCATGCGCTGTGCATCCTCCGTCCCAAGGGCGACTGGGCAGGAGGGCTGGGGAGATCGGGGAGGGGTGGGGAGTGGGATACAGAGCAGGCCAACCTCCTCACCCCCATGATACTCCGCGGGGCACGAAGCCACCCGGCGACCCCAGCTGCCTCTTCTCAACACGGGCACCACCGCCCGGGGGAGGGTGGGCGGAGTTCTGCTCAGCAGGGACCCGGCCCCCAGGACCCAGCCACGGCCCTCCCCTGCATCCGGGGCCTGGGCGCCCCAACCCCTAGAATGAGAAGGTTGGTGAAGTTACCTCCAGGAGGCCCTTACCCACCCCTGAGTCCTGTGAGTCTTGTGTGGATCCCGAGAAACAAACGAGTTACTGAAACCACGGGGAAAGCAGTCCAGGCTGAAGTCCTCCACGGCCGCGTGTCACACCGGCGGGGACTTGGCCCTCCTCTCCTTCCCAGGGAGTGGGGACCGGTGCGCCCTCAGTCCCTGCGCCAGGCTGCCCCCAGCAGAGCGGACGGCCCCACGATCACGGCCTGGCCCCTGGTCCCTGCACTGGCCTCCGGAAGCTGCTTTTCGGGGCCGGGGTCCTTGATTCCTCACTCCGGAGGTTTCCATGCAGGTGTGTCTTCCTCCGTCACAGCAGCCAGCCTCTGTCACCCTGCGGGGCCCAGTCAGTTCAACTGGGGAGTGCCCCCCACCCCCCTTGGAGAGTGTCTGCTCTGCCCTCTGCCATCCTGCCCCCAGGGTGAAGGACAGAGTGAAGACAAGGCTTCAGTCCCCAAGTTGGCACCGGACACCCACGCCACCTGGCGTGGGGACTTTGTTCTGCCTCCTCATGCATCCTGGACGGAAAGGGGGTGGGCAGCATCTGGCGGGAAACACGGTCCCTCATGGAAGGTCTAGAAGCCAGGGCTGCGGCTCCCAGGACCCTCCAGGGCAGGTGAGCCTGGAGAACACAGGGCACGCGGGGTCCCGGCCAGGACAGCAGCCCTCACCACCCCCAACACACACACAGGATGCGCACTTCCAGCTGTCACGGAGCTCATCTCCATGACTCCGGGCCTTATCCCTGGAGATTGCACAGCCTGCCTGCAGGGCTTCCGCCCAAGCTGGGACACCCCACTCCCCTGGTCCCAGCCCTTGTCGGCTGACTGGCTTTTTGTCAAGGTGTGGGGCACCCGTGATCAGAACTCTGTGCCCCGGGACCAGCAGCTATGCTGCCCTTCTGGTTTTTCCTTTCTCTCCAGCTGTCTCGGGCAGACCACCCGCAGCTGCCGGGAACACAGGTGTCCTTGAGGCTGAGCCCACACTCTCCCACTCATCTCCATCCGCTCCCTGGTCTGTCTCTTCCACCCTCAGCCTCCAGTCCCAGCTCCATCCCACGGTTACACCCGCCCCCAGGCCTCTCCCCTGTGCTGGGTAGCTGTCCCTTTGACAGCTCCATTTGGAAGCCCAGGGCTTCTCTAGTCACTCTGTCCCCGGCAGCTCTTGTCAGGCATCCCAGGCACGTGAGCCAGAGAGCCAGCAGCATGCACCCTGCCTCCTCCTCTCTCTCACCCACGAAGCCCAGGCCAAGGCGATGACCTCCCCAAACAATCCCAGAATCTGCCTTCTCCCTAGCCTCGACTGCACCAATCTGATGAGAACTGCTGTCCCCTCTCGGCTTGGCCATTGCACTTGCCTCCAGTTTGTCCACATGCACCCACTCTGATTCCTCTATGACTCATTCTCATAAAACTTGGGATGCAAGTCCAAACCTGCCTCTCCCCTTCCTACAGCACTCCCAGGGCTCCCACGGCTCGCAAAACAAAGACAAAACTTGCTGTGACCCACGACCCGTAACCCACAAGGTCCGTGCAGCCTGGCCCTCCAGTGTGGGCTCCCACCTCGCTATTCCTTGCACTCTGTGTCTCCTCCCATTGGTCCTTTGCACACGCTCTCCCCTTCCATGTGGTCGTCAATGCCTGTTTGTCCTTTGGGTCTGCAACCACTCCCTTCCAGGGGAACGTCTCCCAAGTGCCCCCTAGGTAGATGCCCCTTAGGTAGATGCCCCGTGGGTAAGATGCCCCCTGGGTAAGATGCCCCCTGGGTGGGATTCGTTTTCCTCGCACCTGCCCGCTGTTTGTTTGTGGGGTGGTCTTTTGCATCTCATGCTCAGCTCCAACAAGGGCAGGAACCATACAGTGGATTTCCTACTGAACTGTACTGAATCCTTCTGGGGCAGAACTTGCTTGATGTAATGTACAACCTTCTTTCGGAAAGAAATCATTGTTCCTGGAAAATGCTCAGACGATTTTCTTGTCCATTTCATTAAGGATCAGCTTTCTGGGAAGCCAACTCGGGCACTTAGGGACCAGACATTTCTTTTCTTGCCTAAACTTTGAATAAAAATTTTGAAGCCAAATATAACCAACGTTTCTGAAGCGTGTGTCTTTGTTAATAGCATAGAAGTGTATATAGTGATTAGGGTAGGGTGAAGTCGCGCAGTGGTGTCCAACTGTTTGCGACCCCATGGACTGTAGCCCATCAGGCTCCTCTGTCCATGGAATTCTGCAGGCAAGAAAGAATACTGGAGTGGGTTGCCATTCCCTTCTCCAGGCATCTTCCCGATCCAGGGATAGAACCCGGATCTCCCGCATTGCAGGCAGATGCTTTACCACCTGAGCCACCAGGGAAGCCCATATAGCGATTTCTTGCGAGAAACTGGAATTTCAAGTCCTTCGGATTCCGCAAAACTGAAGTTTTTCAGGGTTAGCTCCTAGCCCGTACCACAGCGCCCTCTGGCGTCCACAGCCCAGAGAGCCGTGACCAGAGCGGGGCGGGACGAAGACCACAGCTCCCATGAGGCGCAGGGCTCGCGGTGACGTCAGTACGTCGGCGAACGCGGCTCTCCTATTGGGCGGCTGTTTCAGGCGTCTGCGCACCTGGCGCGCCCGGCCCCGCCCCGTCGGGCCTGCGCCGCCCGGGCGCTGCTGGGATAGCGATGGCGTCGCCGGGCGCGCTTGCTCGCGCCCAGCTGGTTCCCGCGGCGTCCGGGCCTCGGAGGAAGCGCGCAGCCGGCGAGGCTGGGGCTGCGACGGGCCGGCAGCGGGTCCTGGACGAAGAGGAGTACATTGAGGTAGCGCTCGGCGCGGACGCCCGCGACTTCCGGGCCCCGCGCTCCCCGCCCCGCGCTCCCCGCCGGTTCCCGACGCTCCGCGCTACCCCCTGAGGCGATGAGGCAGCCTGAGTCCTCGCCCCCGGCGTGTGGACAGGCGGGGGCCCAAGCCGGCGGAGTGTGGGGAGAGCTGTCCGCGCTGTAGGGGGGCCGCAGGGGTGGGTGTGTGCACTCGGTGAGGAACTGGAAAGACAGGGATCTGTCAGGGGGTCAGCAGGGGTCTGGACAGCGGCGGAGAGGCCTTCTTGGGCAGCGGTGGTGGTGGGAGCTAGGGCTGGGGGCCCCGCAAGCCGGCTCCCAGGGTGGCCGCATCGATGAGCGGGTTCGTCTCCTGCCACCGCCCCACCGCAGCCACACAGGAGGTGCGAGGAAGTCACTCAGGTTTGGGAGACAAGTGGGGTGGGGCAGGCAGTGGTCTTTAGTGGACAGCTGGGCGGGCAGACGCGCAGCTCAGCGGCGAGTCCGGCTGGAGGTGTGAAGCTGGGAATCTCCACCCGTGCTGGTGGTGGGGTGAAAGGATCAGATTGGAAATAGGAGGCCATGGGCGGGGTGAAGATGGCAACAGCCAGGTTGGTTCAGCTGGTGTGGAGGTGAAGGCGGCAAAGGAAGGTGAAACTCAGGCAGAGAGAGAGAAGGCTTTGAAGGTGCTCTGGTCAGGACTCCATGGTCTCACTGCCGCAGGTCTGGGTTCAATCCCTGGTTGGGAACCAAGATCCCATGTCACACAAGCACACAGGGTCAAAAAAAAAAAAAAAAAGAAGGAAAAAAGGAAGTGTTCCCAAGCTCTGGTGATCTTTGGGCTGAATGGAGGTTGGGGTCTCAGCACACACTCTGTGGGGTAAGCAGCCGGGGGAGCCAGACAGAGGCTCTGACTTGTGTTCTGACCTGTCCTTCAGGGCCTCCAGACAGTTATCCAGAGGGACTTCTTTCCTGATGTGGAGAAGCTGCAGGCACAGAAGGAGTACCTGGAGGCCGAGGAGAATGGAGACCTGGAGCGGATGCGCCAGATTGCCATCAAGTTCGGCTCCGCCCTGGGCAAGATGTCCCGAGAGCCCCCACCACCCTGTGAGAGGAGTCCCCTGGGGCCGGGCATGGCTGCTCGCTGAACCAATGCTTCAGGCCCCCTGACCCCACCCCCTCTGTCCCCCAGATGTCACGCCGGCCACGTTTGAAACCCCTGAGCTACACACAGGCCCCAGCGTGGTGGGCAGCAAGGCCAAGGCCCGGGGCCGCGGCCTGGAGGACGGTGATGGTGAGTGATCGTCCTGCTGCCCTCGCGCTGTCGGGCTTGCCTGGGGTGTTCCAGATGCCTGTGCCCTGGGAATCTTGCGTCTGGTCTCCTGGCCGCTCACTGTGCCGCGGGGGATCCACTGTAATACTGTGACTCTTAACACCGGACACCCCATCTGGGCCCGAGTCAGAGCACACACTTCACCGGCGTTCAGCAGATAGGGGGTTGGGCGGCTTGGGGGTGTTGATCCCATCCCCAGGGTGTTGTCTGGCGGTGTGGGGTCTCACAGACAGACCCACGGCCAGGCAGAGGGTGCCCGGGACTGAGCGGATGCACAGTGGTGCTCACGCCATGGCGCCCTGGACAGGAGAGGCCGCGGAAGAGGAGGCGGCAGAGCCGCTGCCCAGCCTGGACGTTTTCCTG